GGAGGGACTAAGAGGCACAGCTTCCAGTTATAAAACCAGAAGGCCCCGGGGTGCAAGGTACAGCGCAGAGAGCACAGTCGGCACCATCGTAGTAACTGTACGTGACAGACGGGCCCACACTGATTCTGGGGATCACATCCTAGGTTACTTAAACGTCAAGTCACTGTGTCTAGCCCCGAAACTAACACAACACTGCATGTCAACTACACCTTAATAAAAAATAAACTAAAAATAAATAAAAACTTTAAAATTAAAAACACCACCACCCACACCGGTCCTGACTACCAGCTAACAATTCTGGGAGGCCTGGGGATACCTGATCCTCAGAGCTACCTGTGAGCTAAACTCTGTGGTGCAGCCCGTGTTCTGTCCACTCCGCGGCTTCTCTTCACAGATTTCTCAGGCTAATGTCACTCTAGTAAACTTGCAGACGAGAGCGTGCGATTGCTCCAAGTGTAAGTCATTCCAACCCCCCAATAGAACCCCTTCCACAAAACCCCAGCTCACACTTCACTGTGTGAAAGGCAGTAACTTACTGTCTGGAATAATCTATATGCAGAGAGAGAGAGAGAGAGAGAGTGAATGAAAGTAACACATGAAGCAGCCCAGGGCAGTGTGGAGACACGGCCAGGTGCCCAGGTGACCAAGGAGCAGGAATGTGGTCACTTAACTACCATAACTGCCCAGGTCTCACCTCTCTCCCAGTTTAACAAGCTACTCGGGCTTGTTTCCTGGTTCTCCTGCACCTGAATACTGACAATGGCTCGAATCTACAAAATAAATCTAACAGTTTTATGTAAAAGGACTCAGTGTGAGGATGGGATGAGCTACAGAGATACTAGCATCGCCCCAGCTCCAAGAACTCTGGGAACCACATGCACGCTGACTGCACGCACCCTCACTCCACCTACGTCTCAGCTGTCAGCCCAAATCAGTGCTTTTTACATTCGTCCCGAGTCCCATCCAGTTAGATTCTGCTGTGACAGTGGCGACCGGGGCTGACGACAGTGGTAAAGTATATGGCAGTGCTTCAGACTGGAAATAGGCTGCGGGAACTCCGCCTTTCTGCTGGGCCCACCGATGCTTTTTAACAGGTTCCCACACCAGGTGGAAGTGCAGAAGCATGCCATGCAGAGAGAAAGGGGGCACCTGACAATCTCACCTATGCACAGCACCAGCCACACTTCCTAACGCCTGCAGCTGAGGCAGGGAGGGAGGCTACGAGTGTCTGGGTTCCTACCACTGACGGCAGCAGAGAAATGACGAGGTCAACTGCACCTCACACAGTCTCATTACACCGATAGCAACAGATGCTTAATCACAGACTGAGAGCTGCAGATGCCTTAGATATGGTTTAACCTAATAATTTTTGAAATGAAGAAAGTGGATCTTAAAGAGTAAGTCTCCAGCTCAAACCCACACCTCAGACCTGAGACTGGCATTCACACTGCACTTGGGCCTTCCTACCTTGTTTCCTGCCTGTGTGCCTGGAAACAATTTGGTCATATTCTAGTTTCTGTCACTTTTCCATGTATCGACTATCAACTCGCTTTAAAAGCAAAGTGAACTCTTAAACCTTTTTACAACCCTTTAAATTAAAATGTCTGAGAGCAGAATAAATTAACCCTGGAAGCTGAGTGTTCAACTCAGCATGTCCTTGATGGCAGGGTTGTTTTCCCACCTTTTCTGTGATGGGAAGGGTTAAGTACTCACTTTCTGAATCACTCCCTTGCAGTCATGAGACAAGGCCAGGTTTGACAGGAACATGAAGAGGGTCTGCTGGACTGCGTTGTTCTCAAGAGGCACCTGGGAGGCCAACTTCAGGATGCACAGAATCAGGGAGCTGCCGGGGGCTCCTCTGGACACAGCCGAAACAGGAAACTGTCCAGAACTTGACCAGCAAAGAGAACTGCAACCTTAAAAATAACAGCTTGTCACCATGTCTCCTTGGTTTCGCTGCTCAGTTAGGACCGCCTCAGAGGCGAAGTGCATCAGTCTACTGAGTGACCGGCTCTGAGCCCGCGGACTGCCCATCGGCACTGCGGCAGGTGCTGGGGTCCACGGCCAGCCCGGTGTGCTGCTGCCCTCACTAGGGGCCTCGGGACTGCACTGCAGTGCTTAAAACACTAGGTTTGTTTTACTTTAGAGAATACAAAAAGCATAACAGGCTTTTTAAACAGCTCCTCAATAAGACATCTAAGTAAACAGGAGCAGAATGGTAGAAATGGGAGGTAACTTGGTCTATTTTATGGAAGAAAAGAAAAAAAGTAGCACAATAATTCTGAAGCGGAGAACAGGACAAATGCAGTAGCCAGGGATGCTGGGTGAAGGTACCAGCTCGGGGGGGTCGGCAACTTGCTCACGGTCACGCAGCGCACAAGCAGCAAGAGCCAGCAGTGGCACCAGCTCGCTCTCTACTCTCGTGCCTTCTCAGTAAGTTACACAACCACGTGGGAGTTATCAAGGGAGAAAGGTCATCAGAGGAACTGGAACCACCTCTGACTGTCCCGCAACATAAACCAGGGTTAGTTAACGTGGGGAGGCTGAACTACGTGTAAGCAGAACAGAGGCAAACTCGTTCTGCAGGTAAACCGAATAAACACAGGGCTCCTTCAGGTTCGCACTTCACAGCAGCGTCCGAGCACCGCTGTGTCCGTGACTGCGACTCAAATCTCACCCAGGCTGCAATTCCACTGCGAAGCAAATCAGACAGAAGAAGAGTCTCTTCCTCAATTTAGTGAACTAATCACATTCTGGTAGGTAGTTACATCAATTTTAAGTATAAAGGTAACGCAGATAATAGTTTCAAATGATTGGTATTAAAGTGAATGCTTTTTGCTCAATATTTAGCAACTGATTCTCTTTTCCTCCTGACTTCCCTGGGCACTGAGGTGAGGAAGGACAGGCCAGGGAGAGGAGACAGAGATGCAACACTCCACACGTCACAGTGAGAGTGCAGAAGCCTGAGGTCTGCTTAGGTCAGTCTGTGCTGGCCACTGACAGGCTGCGTGGACTCTGGACAGGGAGGCTCCAGAGAGGGGCTGAGGCCGGTCAGACGATCAAGGAGGGAGCTCCTCTCGGCCCTGGGTGCTGACTGCATGGGCTCTGACCTGTCTGAGCTCCGGTCCTTTCTCTGTGTACCTTCTGCTACTTGGAGAGCCCAGCTGCCGAGCTGCTGAATGCTGAGAGCAGAAAGCACATGCACTTGCTGACAGCTAAACCTCACATCTGTGACCCTGAGTTTCCAACGGGAAACTGAGTCTCTTCACACCTGCTCATCTCTGCTCAAATCACCGCTACCTGTCCAGGCTCACCCTCAGCTGCTGGCTTCTAAAAACACATGGCCCATAGCAGGCCCTCAATAAAACGCCTGTCCAATGAATGAACGAAAGGGGAGGCACAGTGGTACCATCACCAAACCAACTGTACCTAGAACTACCTTTCATCATGCCAATGTCCAGCTCTCAAAGCTACAAAAGATTTAACCTTTACTGGTGTTGCTTTCACTCTCTCAATTTTCTGATTAAATTCACTTTCCCACTAATATGATCAGGCCAGTTTCTCCCTCTCTGTTCTCTAAGCTGTGTAATGACTTCTTATCTCACAAACATACCTGTCTATCAAGATACCTACAAGAAAGTGTGCCTATAACCAACACACCCCCAATAAGTAGGAAACACTTCAAAACTATGTACTGTTTTTCCAGTCCACCCCAGCAACATTACATAAGATCAGCATTTTAGTATACCGTGTCACTGAAAGGCAGTACTGGCTCCGCTTACCGTTTGGAAAATTTGCAGTATAGACACAAAGTAGCTGCAGGGCAATTTGCATCAATGAATCATCCATCAAAAGCCAAGGCCAGAGGGAGTGCAGGACTGGGACAAGGTGAGCCTCCAGAGCTGCCTCCTGTTGAGGAAAGGAAGTAAGGACAGCATTAGTCTGAATTAGGAAATGTAAAATTAAATCAAATCCAAAACAATCGTCACCAACATAAGGGGACAAAAACCAAATTTATCTCTGTTCTGATTAGGGGGAGCTGGCATTGAAGTCCCCACCCCAGGCCTGCCCTGTGAGCCTGGCCAGCATCGGGAGGTCCCTTCCTTCCACACCAGGATGGCCAGGATCTACACCTTCGGTAAGAAGTGCAGAAAAACAGCTTTGCACACACTAGGGAAGCAGGACAGTGCTATCTCACAACACTAAGCTGTAAGTGCTCTGATGTGGTTAGGAAACAGGGTTTTCTGGTTAAGTAAACACTCTGATCTACTCAAGTTCTCCCTCCCGCCCTCCCCCCACCCCCTGGGTGTGAATGTGTGTGCACAGATCTGATACATGGAGAGAGAGAGAAAAAGATCAATCAGTGTGAGATTACTGGTTTTAAATCACCTGAGCATAGTAAAAGTCAGTCAAAATACCATGTTAAATCAATACATCCTTAAGTAACTTGGAGTTTAGTTTTTGTTATGAAGATCAGTTACCATTGGGAAAAATACTATAGGTAACATAACTATTTGCAGTAAATGCAGCCATTTTAAATGAACAGGAATCAGAAGGCACTTGCGGACCTGCGGGCACACACGCGGGCGTTCCTATCAGTACACACACCCTACAGAACTTTATGCAGCGTCAGGGCAGGAGAGCGGGGAGTTGTTCCCAATGCTGCTCCCAGCCATGCCCCGTGCTCCCCTCTTCCTTGAGCTTGGACAGGACACAGCCCTATGGCTGCAGCAGGTGACCTTGCTCAGTTTCACAGCCGGGGCAGCAACGAGCAGCTCAGCTCCCTCTTCGCTCGGCATTTTGTCCACACAGCTCATCTGTGTGTCTGTCCCCTCGTCCGTCCTGCGGCAGTGAGGACCGGTGGTACCTGTGCTGGGGGCTGACACATCCATCTGTGTCTGTCTGGATCACAGCTGCCTGGCCCTCAGGGCCCTTGACCCATCGATTGGCTCCTTTCTTCCTGTCTCGTTAATAACTAGCCCCAATCTGATTTCCTGTTTACATTCAAGCAGTTTACAGAGAAACAAACATACATACTGACTTCCTTTAATGAAAAGCTACGTGTCCTGAACTGTAACAGTGTTCTCATGACCAAGCCTCTAGGAAGAACACCCTCGTTGCTGCCACTGCGCACCTCCTATTTAGTTTTCAGGTTCCTTCCATATATTTTCTGTCCGGATGGTGCCCGGAAGGCCACGCCCACCTCTGCAGTTACCAAGGCCTCACCTATGACTTCTTCCTTCCTTCCTCGGAGCCGTGCTAGCCTGGATCGCCTCCAAGCTCTCAGCAATCCCTTCCCACTGTTTTCTGCCTTCTCTTAATTGTATTTTCCAAGGATATGACCTGGACTTCACTCTACACTCTTGAGAAATTTCAACAATAGTCACGGCTACAAACACCATAACTTTGTACAAACGTGTCAGACCCGAACATGAGGCTCTCTCACTTTCGCTTGCTCTGCGCAGCACTCTTGCACCAAACTAGAGTTTGGAGCCCCTTTACCTCTCCCGCCCTCATCTTGGATCGACTCCTCCCCCTCCTTCAGCCTTCACATGCCCCGCTGGGGTCTCGTCATCTCCTGCCTGGACCACTACCATCCCTGCTCTAACCTTGCCCACTGTTTAATCCATTTACCACCTCCCAATCACCGTGACCGAGTCCCAGAATGAAACTCCTCAGTGTTACACGTATACAGAAATGGGATGGGGGAGGGTGGGTCAATCAGTGAATTACCACAAGAGTGACCAACAGCAATGGGGTGTGTCCTACACCCCGGGTAAGTTGGAGCAGAAAAAGAAATTAGGAATCTTTGCCCCATGGGACTGTATTTATACTCAAGGGTAATCTTAATATTCCCCTTTGGGTCTACTCCATATCGACAACTTGGAAATGTAGAGATGCTCTAGCTTACATCCTTACAGGTGCTAGTGTGTCCAAGTGTGAGCACTGTGTTTATAACTGGGGCCCAAACCAGCAGCATCTACATCCACATAAGCAGGCCTGGCTGGCGCACCCCGGAGCGTCCCCTGGTCAGGAGCAATATTAATGCATCCAGTCATGACGACACCATGCAGCACAAGGGATCTGAAGTTTAATAGATGACACCTCTAATCTGAGTAAAAAGCTCATACAAGGGGGATTTCAATGAAATGTACAAATACTTAAATCCCATCAAACTACTTTGAAGTAAGTTGTCTGTCTGTCCGAGCCGCCCGAACTCCAAGTCCCAGTGATGAAGCGAAAATACAGCCATGAGCAAGAGCCGCCACCACACAAGGTGCAAAGATGCCAAGAGTACAGAGTCCAGGGACACTCAGCTGTGCATCTAAAACAAGCCTTTTCCCCTTTCCCGCCCACGCTGTCTCCTAGAGAGGTTACACCACCATGGAAACCCAAGACGCACTACTTACTTTACCTTCCTTGTGTTGATAGAGGCAGTTCCTCAGGAGCTGCATGGCCAAGCCTAACTCCTTAACAGGGCCGTCCTCCTGTCCAGACAGAAGCGGGTGAGGTGTGAGCTCAGTGCAGCTTTCCCTCCCTCCTCCCCTCCGGCAGGTTACAATGCAGCCGTGCTCCAGCCCTGGCGACCATCACTCTGCAGACTGACAGATAATGTCTCTGAAAGGTGGCCGCATCTCCAGAAGTACACCTGCCATGAAAAAGCTATTTCTGTTCTATCAAGCGTAGAGGAGCCGAGACATATAATAAGCTCCGTGCTCCATCTCAATATAGGGGAGCAGGACCTGCCTGGTTCTCAGTCATATCAGGACCAGCCGACGCTCTCCACGGTGAAGCACAGGCCTCGGCCCAGAGAGGAAAGGCAGGAACAGAAACTGAAACACTTAACTCCCTGTACCAATGACACCATTAAATATGTTCTCTCGGTTTTTGATCAAATGCAGCAGAGACTGGTTATTACATAAATCACGCTCTCCTGGCCTCAGCTATATACATACATGTATATCTACATATTTATAAATATACACATGTCCATTTGCCTGTGTGGCAAATCTTTCAAGGACAGTTATTATTCGACAGTTTTATGTGACAGCGATGGCTGTTTCACATTTACATGAATATGCCATCTGAACGTGAGTCCGGCAGACAATGCTACAGACGTTCAGACGTCTCAGAAGGCAGGCATTAATCAGAGTAACATCAGGAAGGTCAGCTCTGCACCACCTAGAGCTGGGGCAGGTGCCGGCTTTATCAATCACTAGTCACAGGGCAGTTGTCATGAGTGCGCATGGATAGTAAAAGGGAAAACATTTAGAATAGCACCTGGCATACTGAGCTGGAGTTCATGCCCAACTTACTGTGCAAGACTTTCTTTCAGCAGTGTATAAAATTATCACGCATGTTCCAAAACATTTACAACAATAAATATATAATATATGCATTTCACTTAAAGATCCTCAAATGAAAACCAAGACACGCAGTCAAAACCCCCAAATCTACATCTAATGCGGAAATCGCATTATTATCTGGCTGTGCCTTCCTTCTAAATCACTCATGTCAACCAAGTGTTGGTGTTGTTCCAAAGCACAAGGACACTAGGAGAGGGTCCCTACACACAAATTCCAGACCCGCTACCTTCTTCCTGAGCGCGGCTTTCCTCGGCCTCAGGGAATCAAGGCTCAGCTGGGCACCAATGTGCTTCATCTGCTCAATGCAGCTGTTGACCAGATCGGCTGCAAGACAAGACCAGAACTAACGGAAGGAAAAGCCATTTCCCAGTAAGTTCGCCCCACACCTATCAATCTAATTCTCAAAACCAACATTTCACTTCTGGCCAACTCCACTGTAGTGTTTTCAGTGAGAGAATAAAGAATGAGAGGGAAAGTCCACAAGAACCAAACCGTGAAAGCCCACCCCCGAATCTCAGGACATGCTGAGGAATGCATAACTCGTTTACACAGCAAATCTCAATTGAAATTCGTGGGCTTGAGGTGCTGTTACTGCCCTTCAACTCTAAGGCCTGTGTTCTCTCATTCCAGAGGAGAGACTGCAACAGCCTGGGGGAGATTCATATTAAAATACAGGACGATACAATGCTGTTATCATCACCAAACTATGTTTTTGGTCTGTAACATTACTGTACTTTCTGGTCTGTAACATTAACACGTGCTTGTGGTCACTAACATTTAATTATTGTAAAGCTGAGCAATGTTACTGTTCAAGCCTCTATACTATTTAAATATTCTCTACCGCAGGAATTATTGCACACAAAAAATCTACAATACTTTTACTTTAAAAGTAGTGCACATTTAACTATTTTTAGCAACCTTCAAAGTACAAGTTTTTTACATTGAGGCCATAAAAAATTTAAATGGACAAGCAGTAACCCTGAATTGACATATGCCACAAAAATACAAGGTGCGTGGGCGGCCCACCTTTCAGAGCTAGCGTCTGCGCCCTCCTGCTGACAGCCAGCAGGGACAGCAGTGTGTTCGCAGCCACTCTCCTCAGGACATCGGTGGGGGGCTTCATTTCGTAGCACTGTAAAGATAACAGCACACCCGCAGTTATGTCCCCTAAATCCAGGCCACCCCCTTTCTCCCTGCCCCCTGGACACCCCCCAGGGTTTTCATCATTGTTGTCACCCCCATGCTGTCGAGTTGCCGAGTAACCCAGACCAGTCACCCCACAGAGGCCCACATGCTGGACGTGTCTGTCTGTCCCCTTGTGAAGGTTTTCACCTATCATCTGTCCTCTGTGCTCCCCACTCACTGGGTGCTCTAGCTCTAAGACTTGACTTGAGTCAGGTGCAATCTTTTGTGGTAAGATCCTCATGTGGATATAAGAACACATTTTTATTACAATTTCAAGGGGTTCACCAATTCGTGTCAGAACAAGAAGGTCCTCATTTGATTTCTAAATATGAGGTAATTCAAATTTCATAACTTGTCCTTCTACAGGTAATTTTCAGAATGATCCAGCTTTATAATATCATGATTGAAATTAAGCTTAAATGTTAATTTTACATAAAATATACTACAACATTATTACTAGCTACAACTTGACGTACAACTGGGACTTGTACTTGGCAGTGGGAACGGAGGTGCCTGCGGGAGGGGCAGCGACTCCCTCTCAGGCCTCAGTCTGTTGCCTCTGTAGGCAAGTCCCTCCCTGGCCAGGGCTTAGATGCTGGATGCCGGGTCGGGGGTCCTGATAAGGGCCACGCTGAGTGTGCCCGGGAAGAGGGGGAGGGCAGGAAGTGCTCTAGGTGATGAAAGTATTTGCAGTAAATGCTGTAGCCAACCAGAGCACCCTGACTTGTTTATAAAGTCAGCCTTCCCAATGCCAGGATGCTGCTCTTCCACACACACCGGAACCGCAGGTATCAGTGACTCAAGGAAACCCGAACCAACCTCACCGAAAAATCCTCCTCATCGCTCACTGCAGACCACGGCGCAATGCTCCTCTACTCTGTCCTAACCGTGCTGGGCCTTCTGACCAGCATCACGTCCTCGGGCCCTGCTGTTCACGTGAACAGGAAGGGCACGACGTATTAGGAAGCACTAAGTAGCGGGTTACTATACGCACACCACACGGAGTACTTTACACATGCCGCCATTTGGAGGAAACGGGGGAAATTAGCTAGGCCTTAGGAACATCACCGAGGTGCCCTGAGGCTCATTTTCCTTGACCAAGAAAGTAACAGCAAAAGACTATAAACCAATACCTTTTATAACATCATAGAAAATCAGAGGAAGAGGATAGCACGGTAAGTGGAACAAATCCTGTGCCATTTTTCTACAGACGCTATTTAATTTGGTTCACCACGCCCACGTGGATCCAGGTTTGTCACAAGTCTAATCGCAGTTTCTTGAAACAAAGCCCCGCCAACAAGCAAGAGAAAGTAGCTGGGAAGTAGAACAGCCCACAAGCAGGTCTCTGAATCCACCCAGCAGGACTGGCTGCAGGAGCCACGGTCCCAGCTGTGGTCAAGGCACCCAGAGCTGCTGTGCTCTGGCCTGGTCAGGGGAGGGCCCAGCTCACGGCCCTCGCTGAGGGGAGAAATCCAGGTGGGCCTGCGAGTGACTCAGGCTCCCTGGAACCAGCAGCGTGTTGCCAGGGCCCCACCCCAATGGAAAACAGCCCCTAGAGCCAAAGTCCAGAACTTAATAATGCTCTGGATGGGGCGGGGAGGACTTTTGTCAAGGTGTGAATCTGAGTTTTCCTGCTCATTATATTCTTTAAAGTGCAAAGTAGGGGTCAAGTGACCAAAAGGGAATGCCGGCGCTGTGACGGTGAGAGAGGGCAGTGGAGCGCTGTCCAGCCGTGGTTCTAAAGGAGGAAACACTGAGCGTGATGAGTTGGGGACTCACTGCAGGAAAGCTGTGGCCTCTCGAGAAGGAGAGACACTCAGAAGAGCTTTGAGGACTTTTCCCACTAGAGGCCCTTTCTGAAGGAGCCACTGGAGACAGAGGAGGAAACATCAGGGGACCCCTATCAGCACTCAGAGGCAACCAGAGTCTGCTGGGCAAGAGAGCAGGTCCCGTGAGGAGCCCCATGACCCCTCACAGCAGGTCTGGGCTGGAAGGGTGGCCGCCCTGCCTCTGTCCGCCCGTCTGCGTTCCAGCACACTCAGGCTGCTCTGCGCACGGACATGAGGTCCTGCTGGAGGATCTGAACACAGGACGCTCACAGGCTGAAAAAAGCAAAACCCCCAAATCCTAAGCAGCAAAGGGACGGCAACCCATCGGCGGACAAGAAGCAAGTCCCCGCTGCAAGGGCAATGGGAGCAAGTCCTTGGTGTGCGTGTGCAGGGCCCACGGTCACTGCAAAGGGGGACTCTCAGTATTGGGAGATTATAACAGCTCCTAGTTGTAAAAATCATTGTGCCACTTAGGAAACACTCCAGTCGTCTTCACGGTTAACTTGCTTACAAAGTAACAACACTTTATCATGATTTTAGAATCCTTTTGATGAAACAAACATCTTAGTTCATATTTTAGGGTTGCAAGAAGTAAGTTAAAAGATAAACAGGCATCAGAGCTTCAAAGAGGGCATCTTCTCACAAGTGTGATAACCAGGCCGGCCTCCCTACACACATAACCCCCTTAAACATAGGTGGTTCGCGCATATCAATCAAAAGTCACTTAGGTGAGCGTGTTATCAAACATGTAAACTGTCTTTAAAATGGCAACACACTGTGCTTAAACCTTCCCTCCTGAAGCACCCCCAGTGGCCATGACGCTGCTGTGACAAAGGGGGGGGCATAGGTGACCAACACTCCGTTTTGAATTTTTACATCATTCTGGTCAACATCAGAGGGTGGAGCTGGGCAGGGAATTGTTAATTTAACTTTACATACTCTTCTACCATTTAAATGGTCATGAATATTAATTATTTTTTAAATCAAATGATCGAAAATATTTTTACAAGACCAAAACTAAAAGTAAAGGGTTTTTTGTCGTTTTCTAATCCTTACCTGAGGACACATCTATTGATTTTAGAGAGGAGGGAAGAGAGAGGGGAGAGAGAAACATCAATGAGAGAGAAACCAATCAGTTGTTGTCTCCCTTACGTGCCTCGCCCGGGGATCGAGCCCACAACCCAGGTATGTGCCCTGAGCAGGAACTGAACCCACAAACTTGGTGTACAGAACGGCGCTCTAACCAGCTCAGCCCTCTGGCCAGGGCTGAAAGTCAAGTTTTAAAGAAATCAAGAAATCACGTACCTGAATGACGACTTCACTAAGCCGTCCCAGAGCCTTCTGGTTTTCCAGAGTTTTGTCGAGGAGCGCAGCCAGCGCTGGACCAGGACGGGAGCCTGCTCTGTCTTCATCCCGTAGATGCCGCTTTGCCTCCTCAGTCAAGAGGACGGAAAGGAACTGCAGGCCGGCCGTGCAGAGGGCCGGGCGGGCGGCCGAGCAGCCCGCACATTCGCAGACCATGTCTGGAAGAGAAGACAGTTCCACACACAGGTGCTTGAACATTCCCTCAAGATAAAAAAGGTAAATCACACTGACCTGAGTAATTTTTAGTAAAGTAAAGCAATCAGTAGCTCAAGCATCACAAGAAAAGGATCTATTTACTTTTCCTTCCCTTCTCTTTATACGAGTTCTTTTCTAAATGAATGAGTTTGTACGTGTACAGATGCACAGATACCATTCACGGTCTCTGCTAACACCCCAGCCAAGAGGATTATGTGCAGATGACGACTGACCTCTCCGGGATCTGCTGAGACCCATAAAGTTTCTCCAGTTCTTAACTTTTTGTTATTTCAGTGCTAATCTAAAAAAAGTTAATGTGACTATAATTATTGATTTTACAGAATACGTAATTACATAAAATCGTAAACAATGATCATCTTCATGTATATGAGAAGACCCCAAGCCGGTGATGGCAGCTCCTTACCGACCACAGCCGCCCAGTGCTTGGCCAGCCCCATCACGATGGGCAGGAGCGAGGCAGCTCCCGCTTTTCTCAACAGTGTGGCCAGTAGGTTAAATAAATGCGTCCACGTCTGATAAAACGCCGATATCAACTCTGCATCTATCAAGTTAACCAAAACATGTCAACTTATTTACAGAAAGGGAAAAAACCTTTTAAAATACAAAATTCACCACTCATTACACTTAAAATAGAAGGTGCGTACTTGTCAAACGGAGACAAACATAACTCAGCATGAAGCATGAATTTAATTCAATTAATTTATCTTTCTCACTGCTTCTAAATCTCTCTCTCCTCCACCTTCCTACAGGCAAAAAAACACACACTCACACATCCCCTCTTACTAAAGCACACTCAAAAACAAGCAGGAGGTATGGCAAACCCAGTAAGGACTTACTGGACACACTGTAAAAACATGTCGTTTGTGCTACTTCTACAGAAGCAAAGGATCTCTGTTTTATTTCCCCCTCTAGCAGCTCTGCACAGGGATGAAAGGGGAAACAATGCACCAAGGTCAGGGCAGAGTAGAAGAGAATTTTTTGAGGGACCAGAAGAGCACTGCCCCATGAGGAAAGCTGGACAGAGAAGAGGATCTGCAGCTTTGCCTACAGATGACAATGGCCCAATGAACCTTAAGGGGTAAGGAGAGCATGTCCCTTCTCTCTACTTGGCACAGGGGAGCTGGAGGGCAGCTGCCATCTCAGGACTTCTCTGCACACACCTGTCTTCTCTGCCCTCTCCACCAGCAGTCTCTGCCAGCTTCTGTCTAACCCATCACCACGCAAACCGAGCACTTCCTCCCTACACCGAAACAGGAAAGCTTACCAAACAGATCTTTGGTGCATATGGTGAGAACTCGGAAAATGTTGGTGACGAGAGGTGTCAGAAGCTGCTCCTGAATCACAAGGCCAGGATCTACCAGTAAACAAGACTGCAAAAGCCTGGACAGAGAGGCCAGGTACTCGAGGAGAAAGGACACCTATTGGCAGAAGGAGATACAGTGAAACAAACGTATCATGTGAAAAGCCCATCTTGGGGACAAAGTACTTTACTTTTCTGTGCATTGTAAGTCACTTCTTTGTACACAGTTAATAAACATCTAATGAAGTATCAATCATAATTTTCAAAGACTATAAATGAATACACAGCCGACAGAGCATTTTTTTTCTCATAAGCATATCGTTAATGGCCACATTAACTGCCCACCCAACTATAACAACACCCAACAAAGCAATATTTACAAAGCCAACTACTAAATTCCATTTAGAAAAAGAAACCCTTAGAAAGGTTTATAAATATAATTTTTTAAGCAGCTGAATTGTGGAATCAATATTCTGGGTGAAGCAGAACAGGGCATTCCAAAGCCACGAAGCCTGTAATTTTGTAAAGAAAGAGGAAAATTACAAAATACTCTTCAAAGTGCACAACTGGTCCGGGGACAACAACAATGGACGAACAGCCTAATTCTTGCTATAAGTAAAATGCAAATTGTTCAACATTTGCCCCAACTACCCTTCAACGTGAAAATACTACTCTTAATTACAAAAGGAAAATTCAATCTTCCCCAATATTACCAATACGGCCATCTCTGGAATGTTGCTTGTAATTTTATAAGTATTAACTGACAAAAACACTTTTCAAAAAAATAATTCCCTGGATATGTAAAAATTAAAGAATAAGCTGTGATATCTCATTCATCCCCAGGAAATGAGATGGTCCAACAAGTCAACTTGAGAGAGATGTTCTGAAGCCCTCTGTCCGCACATTTGTACACACACACACACACGCACACACACACTTCTTCCCCCCACGTCATTCTGAGGCCACTCACAGTACTTCGTGTGACTGTCGTGAGGATTACATATATTATACAAACAAGTTCCCCACATATGTTTCTTACTGCAATTACTCCCTCATCCCACGAGTACTGGACCAGCACCTGCCACGGGGCAGGCATTGTGGCGACACTGGGGATCCAATGAAACACACAAACAGGCAAGGCCCTGCCCGCGTGGGGCTCGCCATACCCCGACTCATCTGCCACTCTGCATTCACGTTCTGCACCAGCCATTCCGGCTTTGTGCTTCTGGGGGAGGCCACACATACCCCGTTCCTGGGACCCTGCTCTGTCCCACAGGACTAGCTTCCTCACATACTTCAAGTCACAACTCACTGTCTGAAAGGCCTCCCTTAACCACCATATGTGGAAAACGCTACCCTCCAACTAGGACACCACTCCCTGCTCCCTGCTTTAGTTTTTCTTAGATGTCTACTGGTGACACCATCAGATCTACTGGATTTGCTCTTGATTTTTATGTTCTTAGGGAAGATGCTGGTATACAGCAGGCCCCTGAGAAGGACTTGCTGGCTAGACAGAATGGAGGCGACGCCATTATGCAGACCAGCCCCTCTCAGAGGAAACCCTGCACGGAGCAAGTGCTTAAAGACGCTGCGCATGGTGTTCCCCAGCATCAGGAGTCGAATCTAGGTCTTCAAACCCCACAGCTCTTTTCTATCATCCACAGATATCTCAGATTAAAACGTTAAGTAACCTATTTCAAAGAACCTCATCACACCACCTACAACCTGAGGGATTGTCACCCTCTTCTATGGTTAGTGCATCCATAGCAGAGTTTATGTTTCTGGCACTTGAAGCAAACAGACGTACAGACAGACACAAGACGAGAGGGAGATGTGAGATACCCACCTGAGCCTGCGTGTGCTCCACAGGGGGCGACGAAGGCAGCGGGGCCCTGAGCTCCTGAACACATGTCTCTAGAAGGGTGGCATCCGCGATACTGCCCAGGACAAAAAAAAGAAAGCCCTCCAGATGGTTAGCAGGCTTCTCATTACAGATTAGTCAGAATTTCAAGTCTGAATGTAACCTTGAGTAGAATTCAAGAGAAAGGGTTTTTGTAAAGAAAGTCAGTAAATGTTTATAAAAAGCTATTTCAGAACACAGGAAAAGATCTCATCAGATGAATGCGGGAAGCAAAGAACTCCAAAGAAACATATCTAACGAAATCTTGTCAAAGCATCCCTCCTAACCTTCACAGTAACCACGGAACAGGTGTCACCAACGACACTCTGGAGGTCAGAGCTTTCCTGAGGCTGCAACATGAGTGGGCAAATGACCTCCAGTTAGCCCGTAAATTGGACTGATCTCAGTAGCTAAGGCCTTTCTTACTGTGCCATTTAACCAATAAGAAAGTCAGAAAAAGCTATGTCAGAGGCTTATTCACATCAGATAAATGAAAGAACCAAATCATGTACCCTAAATGTTATGGGAATACTTTCTCCTAAAAAGTTCAGTCCCCCATAACTAAAGAACCCCAAATGGCCCGGCCGGGCGTGGCTCAGCGGTTGAGCGTCGACCTAGGATCCAGGCGATCAGGGTTTGATTCCCGGTCAGGGCACATGCCCGGGTTGCCGGCTTGATCCCCAGTCAAGGGCGTGCAGGAGGCAGCCAATCTCAATCTCTCTCCCTCTCCTTTCCTCTCTCTGAAATCAATATATTAAAAAAAGAAAAGAAAAAAAAAGAAACCCAAATGCGTGTTAAAATGAATTTTAACCCTTGGATGTTATTCTGATAGGACCACTCAGTGCTAAATCCGCAAACTCCTTCACTTCCAGGCAGAATGACCAAGGGATGAACTATTCCTAGACAAAGAGGGTTTAGAGCCTCTGACCTCTACAAGATCAGGATTGTTTTGAGAGGGGCCTTAAAAGTCAATATGAAAGACCAATACACAGGTGGTTTAATGGATCTAAAATAAAAGTGGTCAGGACATCTCTGGCGAAAGCAAAAACCTGCAGTCTAATGAGCTGCAAAGGATGAAGACTCATCCCAGGACATGAAGCCGTACACAGAGCCATGAGGACAGCGCGCAGGATCCACCCCCCCACATCTCTCTGGAGTACTTCTCTCTTACCCACAGAGCAGCTCAAGCAGCCGAGCCCGTCGGAAGGCAGCTGCCGTGTCCCGTGGAACGATCACCAGGAGGCTGTCAGAGAGGCTGCACAGGGCTGAGAGCAGGGGCGGGGTGACCAGGACGCACGGTCTGGGCACAGGAGCATAAAGGGAAGAGTCCTGAGGGAGCCGTGGAAACGCAGTTTCAGGCTGACCTGGGAAGGAAAACAAGCACAGGAAGCGTCACTATTGTGTTCACCTTGCACCAAGCGCTGCTCTGGTCTTGCGGCTCAGCCAGCACGAATGTGATGCTCTCCCGTGCCATTCAAGGACTGTGCGGATGCAACAAAAAGGCTCAAACACTTTTTCTGTCACCGAAGGGATCAGCAATCAGTGAGCTGTATGCATACACATTCAAAGCACAGTCCTTCCAAATCAAGTGATGAAACCGCCCCACACGTGTGTGTGTGTCCACGCAGACATTCGCCGCGTTATCATGCATGGTGGCCAAGGGAAGCAAAGGCAAATAGCCACCAGCTGATGAAGGGGTAAGCAACGTGGTACAGCCAGACAGCAGGACGCCATGTGGAAACAAAGAGGAGTGGAGTCCTGACACGCTCTTCAACATGGCTGAGCCTGGAAAATATGCTATGTGAGAGACCTTAGACACAAAGGCCAAGTGCTGTATGATTCCATGTACATGAATGTCCAAAACAGGCCAGTCTATAGAGAGGGAAAGTATATTAGCAACTGTGTGGGGCTGGGGAGGGTCCGGGAGGGGCAGTGACTGCTAATGGATACCAGGTTTCCCTGGAAGTGATGGAAATGTTCTGAAACTGACTGTGGTGACAGCTGCACAACTCTGTGACGTACTAAGAACCAATGCACTGTACCCTAAAATGGGTGAACTGCACCGCACGTCAGTAACATCTCAATAAAGCTGTTCAAAAAGGTGACACAACACACTCAGAGATAAATATTTATGAAACCTGTTATCAAATCTGTTCCATTCTGTGTCCTTAGCTACTCAAACAATCTCAGTCTGCTCTTTTAGTTCTCAAGAGAATCAAGTATTTCCCGCAATTAAATACTTTTATGTACTGTCAACATAAAAAACTGCTAAAAGCCAACATCGGAAATTGTTTAGGAAGTTATGGAACAAATACTGAAATAAATTTCAGAGCACTGTCTTGATTAAGCAAGCATTTCTGAGTTTCAGACAGCATTTCCTGAGCAGATGCTTATGCCTCAGCGCTTGAAGTCACCTTCTCTTTAGACAGCATACTCCCAACAGGCCAGGGATTTAACGCTACGCTGTAACCTTCAAGTACAGACATATGTGTTCATGTGCATGCATATATATTTGGAAGCATAACAGAGTCAGAAGCAGTCCCTAATGCAAAGTGTAAAGTTAATACATAGCCATTAATAAGAATAAGCCCAGGGCTACTCATCACGCACGTGTAATAACAGACTTGATGCATTTTGTGAACTTCAAAATGGAAGCACAGTCTTTGAAAACACTCGGGACCAGGTTCTCCTCCTTTCCAGGGGACGTCTGTGCGAACAGAGGTGCTTTCCGAGGAGGGAAGGAATGGTTACTAACACCCGGCCAGCCCGATGATCGGTGCTTCACTAAGGAACCGGACAGCAGTCAGACTACGTTTTGGACGGTGAGCTCCCGTGTCTTAGCTAAGAGTATATGTGTTGTTACTTCCTGACATCCTCATTCTAATTTACCCATCAGGTTCTGCGGCATTTCATTCTGTTCTTATCCAGACATTTTGTTCTGGGACTTATTTAATTTTGGTCTTATCCAGACATTTACTTTCAAAATATCTGTCTGGACCGACTTGTCCCTTTTCTTTCTGAAAGTGGGATGTCTTCCTATAAGGTACCTGGAGCCACAAATTGGTCACACGAGGCCTCGGGGAGAGACGCAGCCGAGGGCACCGGTGGTGAAAGTCCCGCACTCCCCGATGAAGGTGCCACCTGTGGGCCAGCAAGAAAACTGTTTTACTCACAACAGTCACTCGTTAATGTTGTACCTGGAAAACGAAGCACACGCAGTGGATACAGAAGACAGACACCCTTAAACAGAAGGTTCATAACAAAACTACACTCGCTAGTCTAACTGGAAAACGTTCTGTATTTTGAGTTATCAGTTTTTGAACAGCATTGTCTGCTTCTTATAGAACCTGTTACAGTTTATGTACATCAGTAACCCGCAGGAGTGAGGTTCTGATCTGAAGCCATGAGGACATTAAGGTCCCAATAAGGCCTGTTTTTTCTTATTACCTGAATGCTGAAAGGCTGAAATATACAACTTCACCTACAATTCACTGTGTCCTTCAGATACTTTGCATTTTCTGCTTTTTATGAGCTTCATTTATCTAGCTATTTACTTTTAGACTCCACACGTAAGAGAAATCACATGGTAGTTGTGTTTCTCTGTCTGACTTCATTCACTCAGCATAATGCCCTCGAGGGCCCCCCTTGTCCTCGCAAATGGCAAGGTTCCCTTCTTTCTTAGGACTGAATAATATTCCACCGTGTGTATACATCCTAATTTCTTTATCCACCTAGGCACCCATGGACAGTCAGGTTGTCACCATGTCTTGCTTATTGTAAACGATGCTGCAATGAACATGGGGTGCCTGTATCTCTGAGTTAGTGTTTTCATTTTCTTTGGATTAATTTCTTGATTTCTTAACTCACAAGAAAAGAGTTTTTCAAAGTTTGAAATGGGACCCACACACTTTAATAGTGCCTATGAAAAAACTAGAACTATTAAAAAATTGTTCTCTACTTCTCCCCATACTGTAAAAGAACTGTTTAAAAACTCAGGCAATATGCTGACATTGGGTTTCAGAATACTACATTTTTTAAAACATTAAACTTAAGTTCTGTAGAAGGCGAACACAGTGTCACCACAGGTTACAGGTGGGAAGGCAGAGTGGCCTCCTGCTCTGAAGCAGCCTGCGCTGCTGAGTCTGGCAGCTCCTGTGGGAAATGTGCCTTCTCGAGGGATGGTCACTCTTTTCCTTCCCACCAGTTATTTTCTCTGTGGCAGATGAACTTCCCACACCGGACAGGTCCACCACCTGGGTGCACATACTATTTCTAGCTCGGAAGGGAAAGCATGACATCTAGTGGAGCCAGGGTAATTATTCTAATTTTCCAAGTACAGGTTCAATTTAGGACTAAAATTCAACTCTTCTGAGTCTAAAAAAATAAAAGACTCTTAAAACTGCAGCAAAAAGTCCCAGTCCCTTGAGACACTGTGTGGCTCCTATAGCTGCCTGTATAATAGCTGTTATTCTTATACTATTCTGCTCCTGGAAGCACAGGAGACAAGACTCTGCAGTCCCAGGTTCTACAAACGCAGTAACTGTTCCAAAAACACTTTACAATCGAACGAACGAACGCACTATTCCTAATTGAGAATGGCTGATCCCAATGCTTGTAAAACAAATGAAACCTAGTGTCAGTCACTACTTAGAAATACTTAGTGTGTCAAACTTTTTAGAACAGAGCAGCTTATGAATGAGAAGAAACAGGAAAAAAAGGCAGGCGGGCAAATATAAACTTCAGGTATTTCACAGGATCAAGACGAGCTTGTCTGAGGCACGTGTGTAGAGACATGCTCACCAGCACCAGCAGGAATCATTCCAGTGGGTCACCTGTCTCCAAATTGCCTTGGCCTCAAGCAAAATGTCAGGGTAATCAGCATTCTTAATTAGCTGAGATCTGTTTTCTTCTACAACTATTATAAACATGTTAAAGTTTGGTTCTATCAGAAAAGATAGGAAAGAGGGTGAAAACTCATCTAAAAGGATAATCAGTGTGGTGACAAGAGGAAGGCAGCCCCTCCTGCGCAGACAGCACTTCAGGTAAATCACAGCTTTACGATCAAACAAAACTTCACACTTCCTACCAGGCTCCTCTCTCCACTGTGTAAATTCATACTGTTCAGGAGACTCTAAAAGAAGCACTTATGAATTCTTTGGAAGTACCATGGTTTCCGAGGTGGAGAGAGAGCTTGGGTCTCGGTCTTGATTGGGCATTCTGGATGGAGCCCTCCAAAACTCTAGTGAGTCATCCAAACCTGTGACAATAGGTAAACAACGGTCAACGGAAGTCTCCAGGGTACTGTAACCATTAATGGAAAACAGTCATCCTGTGAAACCAGTCAAGACCTAAGGAAAGAGGTCCGCCTAATTTTTATTACCCTAATTAATTTATAGATAAAGCTTGTTTCACAGAAAACTTAATGCAATTAGCTGACTGTGCATTAGCTTAATCTAATGCAATTTATCAAGAACACCAGCCACCAAACTGTAATGTGTGTGAGAACCACAGGGAGCTCGCAGAAGCAGCTCTGGGTCCTCTCCCTCCCCTTCCCCAAATCAGGGCGGGCGTAAGTTTGTACTTCTAACAAACTCACAGCACATGTCAGTGTCGGTGGCTCAAGGGCCCTGCTCTGAGTGACAAAGACCCAAAGACATCCAAACAAATGGGTCACTTTCCTAACAGGGACATTTATTTAGAACGTTCAAAATGCCTTCAAATGTCGTTTTCCCAATTCCTCCAAGAAGTGAGCAGAAAAGTGATTTAGAAACTTATGCTTAAATATTTCAAGATAAAGAAACTTCATGTCTGCAATTTACCCTTAAATGTCTCAGAAAAGCATAGACATACATACATGCATCTAAATTAATAAATTTTATTCATTCACACACACGTATACACACACACAGCATGGGGAGCCAAGTATAATAAAATGGTAACATTTGGGAATTGTACCTTTTCCGTAAGTATGAAATTATGTCAAAATTTTTAAAAATTACTTTAAAATTAATGTTAAAATCTCATCCATTTTTATGACTAAGTCACTAAAAATTAATGTAAGACATAATTATTATTTACATATGCTAAGATTTTATACTCAGGAAATGCAAGAGAATCTACAAATAGAAAAGGTTTCAGCAAGATAGTTTGATAAATGAGTAACATGCCAAATATGAGTAACTTCTCAATACATTAGCAAAACAAATGAGAAAACTTAGTAGGAGAAGGTCTTATTCATGGTTGCCTGGGAAGAGCCTCTTAAAGTTCAAGGTGACACCAGAAGAAAGTATAAAACTTTGCTGAAGGGCATGAAGTAACTTATGAAACATTTATATGATTTCAAAAATGATTTCCATGAAGAATTTATAACATAGGAAAATGCTCCGGCGATGTTTAGTGACAGGAGGGGATACAAAAATGTACATAAACTATGAATACAATTATGTAAAACAAACAAGAGCTGCCCAGAGGAAGAAGACTGAAAGGAAACACACCTAATGCAACACAGGTAACGTCTGGGTAGTGGACCAACAAAGAAACCAGTTTCCCTGTGTATTTGTCATTGTTTTCAAATATTCTGTACTAAACACACTGGTCTTTAACAGTTTATAAAGTGTTACATTATATAAAAATAGAAAACGGTGCACTTACCATTTAAATCACTGCCTTCTAAAGTTCCACCAGGAGCAGGACAATTCAAATCAAACATAACCCGCCCCAGGTAACACTGTTTCACCATCTGATGCAAATGCTCATAGAAATGGCAGTGACACAAGAGAGCCTGCAGGGCGGGCTTCCCTATGAGCGACAGCCCCGAGTCCTCGTCATGGACACACGGGCCCTGGAGGAAAAGAGGGAGAGAAAGAGAAAGGTCACTACTTATCACATGAATTCTTCACCAAGACCATGGTCTCCCCACACTCCCCAGGAGCGACGTGGCCCCACCCCTGAGGGTCCTGCGCTCACAGCCAGGGACCTAGGGCCTTACTTCCCAGCACTCCAGGTCTCTGCTGCCTAAGAATCCAGTGAAGGCAGAGGCTACCCTCCACCTCCTGTGGGGCCATTTAGTTTAAAATTCTTCTATAAAATAGTAAAACTTTAACCAAGTAATTGTGTACTTGAGCCATAAACACAAAAAGCTATTTTACAACCTACACAGGACAGTAAGTATTAAAATATCAGAAATAACATGGTCTGAGCAATCACATTTGCAATTAGACTTCATACCTATGAACAGGCTAGATAAACGCATGGGCCTATCAACATTCACAGTGAGAGCTGTTGGCCACTTTCCTTCCTGCTGCACTAACCCTGACAAGGGGAAAACACACACACACACACACACACACACACGGGCAGGCACGGCGCACACACTGCTCACCAGGAGGCTGAGGGCATGGAAGCAATGCCCCCACCACCCCACCCCGGAACAATGAGCACATCTAGAGCCCAGATCTCCACCGACAGAAGTCAGGGCTCTCTGAGCAGATGTGTGATCCAGGCTGGGCTGGAAGAGTTTAGAACATCCTGCTGTACAGAGCGAGGAAGTGCTCAAGGAAGGGTGAAGACGTGTGAAAAGGACCCCAGACTCTTCATGAAGGGGTCCTTTTGGCCAAATCTGGAACAATTTAAACATCTAAATAAATAATGACAGAAACAGATTATAACCCATGAAACAAACTAAGTTTTCTGGAGTCCACCTTGGTGTAAATTTTAAAACATGAAAAATAATAATTGGGGAAGGAGAGCTCTTCCTTACAGTAAATGTAACAAATGGGGTAGAAACGATGGAATGAGATGATCACCACTTGGCAATTATTCTGTAATAACTGCTTCAGACAAGAACCTCAAGTAGAAGTTAAAACCAGTGAAAGAAAGCTGATAAGAAATAGGTATTTATGCCGTCTCAGAGCACCGCCCTGTGAAGGAAAAACGCACTGCACAATAAACATATGGGTGGACTTGACCTCCACCAGGTGAGCAGAGCGAGCATCCCTGCACCAGGCCAGAGATAGCTTGTGTCCTGCCACCCTGACTAGAGCACACACTTCCATGAAACCACAGCCTCGACGACTTCTGCAATACGTGCATAGTAAACACCGGGTGAGCTACTGTTTCTGTTTAAAATTACTTTATACTACAGCCCTGTCGAGTGGCTCAGGTGCTTGGAGCACCATCCAATACACCAAAAGGTTGGGGGTTCGATTCCTGGTCAGGGCGCTCGGCAACTGATTGATGTTTCTCCCATATTGATGTCTCTCTCTCCCCTCCTCTAAGATCAGTAAAAACATATCCTAAGGTGGAAAATAAAAAAGCAATAATAAAATAAGCACTACAGAGCAGAACTTATAAATCTGATCAAGCATAAGAAAATTTCATTTTCTTTTAAGAGATCCTGCTGCCTTGTAAGAACTTTCATCAGTAACGAAATACATACCTGATGAAACTTTATCACCAATTAATTTCAGTACCTACCAGGCTGACCGCTGTTGAAAGTCACCCACCTGCCAAGTATAATCCTTTACAATTGCTGATGGCATTGGGATCACAAGGAGATTCTGAAGAATAAATGCAGCCTGAAATTTAAAAAAAGAAGTCAATACTGCCACCCTGTGGTCGCCGCTGAAATAACCGGCATGTCGCAACAATAGCAGAAAACGTATCACTGGTCCACCACACATGCTGACGGTCACCATGAGAAATGCCAACTGCGTTTCCTGCGGGGTGATGACCTAACAGTGGATGACATTATTTCATTGGGATGTATATTTTCTCCTATTGCAGAAATTTTATTTTTCAAAAAAAAATGATTTGTAAAATATAAACTGTTCTGTAGCACTTAGGAAATACATTTTCATGCTTCTATCATCCCCTACAGACTAAATGTGCAAGTACGTACACACACACCCCTCTCCCGGTCTCCCTCCCTCTCTCATACAAGGTCCTCTCAATAAAAATTTGCTACCTTAAAAAGGGTAACAGAGGGGATCCAAAGAATAAAATTCTCAACCATCATAACTGGAAGTCAGTAGATGATATTTAAAGTGGTCAGCGAAGGATGCTACTGTTTTAAGCATTACATTAAAAACAAACACAGCCCTTGGATTGGGAACTAAGGCAATGGTGAGTGCAGGAGCTGCTGTTTCCTTTATTTGACCCCAAGCACGACTTGATTACTGTTTTTAAAACTAATGGCATCAATCATCACTTTGATAAAAGCAGAAACTAAAAACACCCACAAACTATTTGGAAGAATTAAAGTTTACTTTTCTTCTCATATGGTATATGATAAAGACTACCAAGTATCTGGACGGCCCCTTAACTAAAGCTTATAAATATCAGAGACCAATAAACATCGTGGTGATACAAAAGTACTTTTTTCTGTCAACCTTTTCAATGTGTAATAAAAGAGTTTATTAAAAATACCAAATTCTGCTTTGACCATATCAGAATAAAGGACTCCAATATTTACTGTTAATTAATACCTTTTTCTTTCTCTACTACCATTTTATTTGGGTGTTTTGCAGGCACAAGAGACGATGGTCAGGGGTCGTCCACCATGTTCAACGGGGAGTTGGTGTGGTCACAAGGACATCAATGGGTTTCCAAGGGAAAGGGGAAGAAGTGCAGAGAGGCAGGCCTACCTCCCGGCGCACCATGCTGCATTCCAACGGGTCCAGGAGGGTGTTCACCACAGTCCCCCAGAGCCCACCAGAAATGTTCTGGCAGCTGCTGGCCAGGGCCACACAGCCAGTTTCCAGGGTGGTCAGTGCGGATCCCAATCCCAGGGAAGTGAACCTCACCTGTGCAAGTCAAAGAAAAGGTTGTCAAAGCAAAGAATCTGATGCCCTAACAACATAAATTCTTAATTTCTCTGGCACATAAAGTTATCATACTTTTATGATAATTTGATGATCCTAAAATTATAAAAGACACTGATTAGAAGACAGTGCCCTGTAAGTTTACAAATGAGTAAAATTCTACTCCACAATTCAAGAAAGCAATAACCAAGGGGGAAAAAAGTTAAATAGAAGCAAATGTCACAAAAGTCAAAACCAGGTATAAATTAGAAAAAATACAACTTTTTCTAGAGAAAGCATAGGGGACTTATATATCTTTACAGAACCAATTCCTGTTTATTCCTCATTTTTAAAGAGATTACCTATTATTTTGTTCCACCTTCCTTAGTGTTTCTTCCAAATATTAATGGTTTTAACTTTTTTGAAACTTGTTTTAGAAAATAATGGAGTTATTTTTTTTGTAAGACATTTAGTACTTTCCCTCAATTTTTTTTTAAATGTTTCAAGATTGATGCGGTGTGACAGGTTTGCCCTAGAATCACTGCTGCTCAAGTTACGCATTTTGGTGAACTTCTGACTTCTGATCCCAAATACTGGGTTTCAAAGATAACTATATGGTATCCAAAAAAGTCCAAGTTCAATGTGTTAAAAAGTGTAACCTCTAGGTTCAGATCAAATACTAGCTCTGTAAATCAAGGTTTCCATATAATAGGATATAACTGCTTCTTGCTTGAAATTAATGGACAGTGTGTATAGCCAATAGTACTGTATTACAAACTTAAACATTTGCTAAGAGCAGATCATAAAATTCAACAAGCAAGCGGATCAAAAGTAAGACAGCAGGAAGCAGCAGCTGCTGGAGGTGGAGGAGGTGTTATTAGCACTGACTGTGGGGGGGTCTCTCCAAGAGCAGGAAGCTGTGCATGTTAAATGTGTACAGCTTCCTACACAACCACTGAGTGGAAAATTCATCACTACTATGAAGCTGCAGGGTGGCGGGACTATCGACTAAGTGACACTCAAATGTCAACTGGCAGCTGGCCCTCTAAGTTGGTTGAAAATGGCTGGGTTTTTCTAACAACTTTCAGTTCTTTCTAAAAGTGATAGATTCTATAATTCTTTTTGTCTATTTTTAATCTATACTCTAATGAGTCTGACTGAAGAGGGGGTGGTATAAAATGAAATCCATCCCCCAGCATTCATATGGTGAAGCCGTAACTCCCGAAGTGACTGTGTCTGAGGTCAGGGCTTTTGGGAGGTCATGAAAGGTCAGTGAGGTCATAGGGCAGGGTCCCAATCTGATGAGAAGGTGGCCATCTGAAGGCAAGAAAGAGAGCCTTCAACAAAGCCAACCATCTTTTTTTTTTAATATATCTTTATTGATTTCAGAGAGAGGAAAGGAGAGGGAGAGAGAGAGAGAAACATCAATGATGAGTCATTGATCGAGCCCGCAACCCGGGCATGTGCCCTGACCGGGAATCGAACCCTGAACGCCTGGATCCTAGGTAGATGCTCAACCACTGAGCCACGCCCGGCCGGGCAGAACCAACCATCTTATTAGCATCTTCACCTGGGGCCTCCAGCCTCCAGGCTGTGAGAAAATAAAGTTTTGTCCCTTGAGGCCCTCCCGCCCGTCTATGGTATTTTGTTACAGCAGCCCAAGCAGAGATGGGATTAAGTCAAGTTTAAGGACAGTTTAAGGAAGTTTAAAATTGTCTCCTTTTGGAACCTACAACTATGCAAATGCATATGTTTTGTTTCATTTGCTCTGTATCTACCCATAATACACTCAACTTTTCTTCACACGGACCTCTGGGTCTCGGTCCACCCACAGTGGGATCAGCCAGGCCAATCCTTGCTGCGTAGCTGTCTGCTCCTCACCGTGAGCACCCAGAGGCAAGAACCAAAGTGACACCCACTCCTAAAATCACACACACACAAAAAAGGAAACAGAAACACATTAGGGGAGTGTCTAAGAATAAAATACAAGGTGTTTTAAATAACTCTGAATTTTAAAAAATCAAAACAAAGTAAAAGCGTACTTGGTTTTAATTCATTGTTTAGCCAAAACAAGGCAAACAAAAATATAAGCTTCTCCTTAAAAGTTAAATATACCATTTTTTCTTCAGAACAGCTATTTTCCCCATGATTTAGAAATAACATGTCTACAATGCAGATTTCAATCAAAATAAATTCTGAATAAAATTCAGATTTGTGTACATGCAACTTCTAAGAAACATCTTAGTCAAACATTTTTGTCTCCAAGAAGAAAAGTGACAAGACGTTTTTAGAGAGTAAACTACAGGCTGCAAGTGTGTTAGACGCCCCACACTCCTTTCCTAGCAACTGCTGGAAGACGGGCAGCTCTAGCACTCTCACCGAGCTCGGGTCCTCGGCCATCATCTCATGAGACAAGTGAAGCAAGCAGAGAATTGTGCTCTTTGTGACACCCTTCCCCATGAAGGACATGGCATTTCCTCCACGCTCCACGTAAAACGAAGTAATGACCTGAAAAGCAAACGTAGGCAGGTTCACAGCAACGCTACTCTGAGCAGTAAGGCCAAACCTATCACTTGCTACTGATTCGTCTAAATCAAATCCTAACCACATAAAGTGTACGTAATACATTCAGTTTATACATTTAAAAGGGTTAAGATGGTGAATTTTATGTTATGTTACTTCACCACAATTAAAACATATACTCTCTTACATGTTTGTCAATAAAAATCATTAAAACGTAACTGTGCCTGGCACACAGGAGGCGATGAATACAGTACCCACTGTTATGTGAGGGTTGCGCTTATGGCCGTTACGGCCACTGGCTATTTTTACTTACTTCCAGGAGACCTGCCAAGTACTTCCCACAAATTTCGAGTGGCTGCGAGAGGGGGGAATGCGAGCTCCACCCCGGCAAGGCTGTGAGGTGAGCCATCCCTCGCAGGGTCCTCTCAAGGGAAGGCAGGCCGTAGAAGTGAGGGGCGTCCGTGACCCGCAGGCACTGGAGCAGCTGCAGAGCCAGCTGCGTCTGGAACACGCGGAAAAGTCCCAAGCATTTCCTGTGAGCGCAGAGGAGGAAAACATCAACCACAGAACAAACGTGACAGGCTTAGCAGGTGGTGTCTTCCTGGTGGTACAGGGTCCCTGACAAACACTGTATCAGAAAAGTCTGAACTCAGAGAAAAGGCAGGAAACATTCCGTCTCAAAAGAAGAGGTCAAAGGAGAGCTCAAAAAAGAGGAGCTCAGTGAAAGCGCCAGCTCAGGCGCCGAATACAAAACACTGGCCATCACTGCACTGAGAACACACCGTGAGCATCGATCTTGCCACCCAAAACGACAGAAAAACTGCAATGGAAAATTAAATGCATATAGTAAGTGAGTTTATTGCCACACTAAACCTGTACTTTTAATCATTCACTATCATTAAAAATAGAATTTTTAATTAACCAAAATGTATTTTTCCCCAGAAAGCTAAAAGAAAAAGTTTCAATGCATTTGACACATAATTTATACAAAACCATCAGAACAGTCAAGAGGCATTTTCTATTAGAAAACAAAACCTCTGAAATTAAGTAGCCAGGCATGGATCCAAAAATGTAATTCCTGAAAGAAGTAATATCACTGTATAAGAAAATACAGAATAAAACCTAAAATTTCTTCAGTTTTACAGACCTTTAAATTCTAAAACTGACAACGACTGACTGTATTATTACCTATTCCATCCCAATATCAAGTGAGTAAAAGACAACCCACAGAATTGGAGAAAGATCTGCAAATCATATATTTGATTAGGGGTTTATGTCCAGAATATACAAAGACAGCTCAAGAAGAACAAAACAAACAAACAGCCCAATTCAAAAGCAGAACAAGGACCTGAATGACGCTTCCCCAAGGGCGCAGTAATGACAGGTGCTGGGGAGGATGTGGGGAAATGACAGCACTCGGTGTGGCTGGGGGATGTGGAAGATGTGACTGCTGTGGGAAACAGCTGGGCTCCTCCTCAAAAAGTTGAAGATAGATTCACCATGTGAATTAGCAATTCCAGTCTTAGGATAATCTTGAGAGCGGAAGCCTGTATATGGATGTTCACAGAAGTACTATCCAAAATCCTTAAAGTGGAAACAACTCATGTGTCTGTTTAACCAACAGGTAAATGGATAAACAGAATGTGGCAGATCCACACATGACTATTAGTCGCAGGGAGAAGTAAGCACTGACATGGGCTATAAGACAAATGCCCTTGAAAACGTGGTGTTGGGTGAAAGCAGCCAGACACAAAAGGCCACATGTTGTTTGATTCTATTTACATAAAATGTCCAGAGCAATGAAATCCACATACAGAAAGAACATTAGTCACTTCCATGGTCTTGGGTGAGGGGTGACTGGGAAGGGGCTGCTGAAGGGCACAGGGTTTCTTTGGGGGGAAATGAAAATGTTTTGCACAGTGCTGGTTGCACAACACTG